TTCCGTTTTTAACAAAACCGTTACGCTTTCGAGTAATTTTGACGCTTTTTACATAGACAAAATCAGCTTTTGTTTACAAAACAATCTTCGTAAAAACACATTATGAAAATTCGAGCTAATGTTATTTCGGGCAAATGTATTTTCCGACTTCTGATAGGTAATCCCGTGCCGTAAAACGAGTATAACAATATTTTGTTATTGCTAACGTTTAATAAAAAAATCATTTTAAAAATAGGATTAAAATCAAAGCAACTCTACAGTTTCTTTGTTCTAAATATTTCAATCGCTTGTGGTTCGAACAATTGAAAATGACCAAGAAATTTATATAAGCTTCTTGAAACTGACGTAATGGGTCTCTTTCCATCTTTTGCGCATGCAATGAGTAGAAAAAGGACAGTTAGCTATTTTTCATTATTTCGTGTGCATTTGTAATTTATATTTACGATTCAGTTATATATAAATTAAATATTATAAAACTGTACAAAATAACACTTTTAAATGACAACTATGATAACACAATATATTTGTTTAGTGGAAATATGATACAAAATCCTGTTTTCACACTTTACTGCAGCAATTTTTATAAGTTATTATTTGTACTTCATATATTGGTACTGCATGATTGACAACCGTGCTGTCACTCGAACAAACGAAGACTGTTGCGCGATTGACGCTCTGTATGCAATTTTAACGCCCTACAGGTGAGGACACTTTTCAGCGCTAACCCGACGTCCATTTATTGGTAGGTCAATGTATAAAGTCAATTTTCTCAAACATGCTCGTAAATGTTAGTACATTCAAAAAACGAACACGGAAAGTTTGACATTTATAGACCGTGCGATTTCTTCCCGGCCATGGCCTGCAAACTAAGTATGAAAATCCATTACTGTCTGCTGCTCTAAACGTTTAAATCTATCTAGTAACAATGAACTATGTAAACAGATAAAAGAAAAACCGATACAGTCAACTTACAGTGTTCGTAATTACGAGAGTACCGCTCTTACTATTTAAAAGAAAAAAGAAAAAGGCGGTAAAATAAACTAAGTGCTTTATTATTATTTTTGTTTCTTCAGCTGTTTGTATATTTGATGTGAAAATTAGTTCTGTGAGCAATAACGAAAATACAGTAATGGATAGTACTCTGCGTAATTTTAGACAAGAGGCAATTATAGTCAAGAAAAAGTGATTGCCGGTTAAGAATAAAGTAACTTACATAAAAACCTATGAAACTTTTATATATTGAAGAACTACATGAACCACGCCATTAGAAGTTCAGTAGATTAATAATAATAATAATAACTAGACTAATATTCATTTGCCTGGAAAAAGAATAACATTTTGTTTCAGCAAAACCCAAGGTATTAGCATGGCTATACGAAGGGGGAGTGCTGCCAGCATCTTGGGCATCTTGCCGTAGGGGCCCAATTTTACTCATTTACTTTTAGTTTCAGTTTCTAATATTTAAAGCTTTTTGTATTTATATACCTTACCTGTCTAAATAAATTTACAACGGACTCCTACTTGTGAAACCTTTTAATTACCATTTCGTTTAGTACTTGAAACTGTATGACGGTACTAAATGATGAGATTGGGAACAATATCAAAGATCCCGAAGAAAATAAATGCAAAACTTTGCCAGATCAGCTTTCTTTGAAAGACATCAGCTTTTCTAGTAGTAGTAGGTATTTGTTATGGGCGCCCACGGGGTAATTCCAAACCGAGTCGCCTCTTATCATTATTATAATTTCAACTCGAAATTTTCTCGGAACTTTCATAAAATTCATTCTTTATTTCAATTTATTTGTGTTGTTCTTTTATTCCACTTTCTATCTTGAATCTATGTGAATATTTTGAACATTTTATCGTCTTTAGTACGTAAACTGCAAACAAATTGCTTAAGTATGGAATAATTATATTATTGCTGAGTCCCGACATGCAGAAACTAATAGAGGTAGTCATGTGACGACTATAACTTCCTTTTTGAGAGGTTTAATAGAGATGACGTTGTTGGTTTATGCTTTATAAGGCGCCAATCAAACTACGGGTATAAGAGAAGAACGTAGTAAAGAAGCATTAGCACTTCCTAAGGGTCCATGCACACGGCGTATTTTTAAGCGTAGACGACGCGCATTTCACGAACGCGCATTTAGGGCGCCGGAGAGCCGCGACATGAAATTTATAAATACATCGAAAGGTTTATTGGCTGTGAGTCTACGCGTAAAAAATATGTCGTGTGCATAGGCTCTTATTGGTGAGTTGTTTTCGCGTCGCTAGTGAAATAATAACGCTCGTCGTTGTATCTTATAGTGTCTATTAATCAAAATTTAAGTATCAGTGTGACTTTAAATAAAAAATCTGCTGAAAAAGTTTCAGTATAGTCGCTGCCCGCTCTGCGTTCCGTTCTTATATTTGAGATTTGTATAAAATTAAAATTCTCTTTGTTGTTTCGAGCGAATTTAACTTGACATCTACAGTGGTTCGTTAAAGGTTTCTTTTTTGAGCTGGTTGTTCTTCTGAATTCCTTTGTTTTATTTCCGATTTTTTTACTGTATTTTCTTTTGAATTTATTTTTGCTCTGCTTGATTGTTATAGGTAACATATTTTTTCGTCACACTTGTTCGTTAACAGTGTCATGACATGCAGGCAAAGTCGACCGTAACGTCCTAAATTATGTCCATGGGCTTTTTCATTACGTTACCGTTTTAGGGCGTTAGTTAATAGATTTTTAATTTATTTGCACTGTACTGCTCTTAAACGTCAAGATTAAGCAAAAAAAAAATCAGAATATATTTCGCATAAGTTTCAATATAGAAAAAAAACTAAACGTTTGCAATTTATTTATTTATTTATTTATTTAAACACTTTATTGTACCACAAAGTAACTTACAAATTTTCAGAAACAATTTAAATATTTGTGTACAAAGGCGAGCTTATCCCATAAAGAGATTTCTTCCAACTTTTAATTATATTTTACCTAAAAAAAGTATTTTGTGAATTCAAATTTACTGCAGAATTTGAAAATTATTTCTTTTATATCTAATACACCGTGACTTCATGCGTCTGTGCCTTTTATAATATTTTTGTTCGAGTTGTTTATATACAGTGGAACAATAGTTGGCCATCTGTTAAAAAAAAAAACAAAAAACCCGTCATTTGTAAAATATCTAAATGTTGTGTTGTGAAAAGATATTTGTTCCTACAAGAAATAAATTATAGTTGTATCCATTTCCTCGCAAATGTGATTATGAAAAACACTGTATGTAGCACAGGCGGTAAAAATTACAAACCTCGAGTCATCAAAGCCCTTAGCCTTCGGCCTCGGGCTTCTAACAACCTCTTGTTGGTAATTTCTTATTTAACGCCCTTAATACACAATGTACTATTACGGTAATCATAAAAATAGCTGGCTTATAGAATAAATAAAATAACATGTTATTAACGGTGTCTACGTACGTGATGAATATTGAGAGTAATTAGGTTTTCGCGATTACTACACATTGAAAATGAAACAATTTTTTTGATTTTTTAGTAGCAGTAGAGTTCCTCGTGAAAGAGTTCGTTCAGGGAAGTAATCTGTAACCTTCGCTATTTCTGCCATCAAGCATTACTGTGTTCCGATTTTGAAGGGATAAGGATGCTGGTGGAATTGAAAAAATAGCGCAGAGATCCGCACTAAGGACGTTTTCAATTTGACTTTAAAATTTTTTTTTTATATTTTTCATTTATGCTTTGATACCATACGAACTTCGTCCCGTCACTTGATATAAAAAAAATCACGTTTGCTTTTTTTTAAGCCATCGTTTCGGGCCATGATTAATATCATAGTATTATTATTTAAGTCAGTATGGTAGTGGTAGTGGTATAGGACATGTAAAGGACCCGAAACATATTTAAAAAAAAAAACAAAACAAAATACACGAAATTTTAGATCCGAAAAGACTTAGAAAACAAAAATTTATCCATTTTGACTCGGCGTAGCGCCTGTGCTACAAACAGATTATTCACACCATGTCACGTCACGCACGTAGGAGCATCGTTTTCACTCAAACAATATTGCTTTGTCTCACAACACAGACGAGATATGAATAAGCAATTGTACAATAATAGACAATAATAATCTTTACATAAATTTCAATAATTCAGGAAATCGTCGTAGCGGTTCTGTTCTGATAATTTCAAGATATGAATATATTTAAACAGTTTTTTTTTAATGATACCAAGTGACTAGATGAACAACTCTTGCGTCTGGTGGTAAATGACACGCCTGTCCATAGCAGTTGCAGTGCCACTCAGAGCTTTAGATCGCAAAGATTTGAAGTGCGCTGCCACTACGCCCGTTACTCTGAGACATAAGTTTACAAGTCCCATGTGCCTGTAAATTCACCAGCACCCTTATCATTTAAAAGCGGAACTCAGTAATGTACATACGGTGTATCATATACGCGCAATAAACGCGCGTTCGCGGTGCGGCGTCGCGCTGCAAGCAAGAAGCTTATATAAAATTTCATGTAGTGGCTTCATTTCAAAAATCAACTGAAATTAACAAAAAAATCCAAAATTAAACTACTTCTTATCAAAATGCACGATACACACGCGCGTTTACAGCACGTCTACGGCGCGTATGCGCGCAGATGAAGCGCGTTTACGGCGCGTATACGCGCGTCGACTTCGCGTACACGCGTGTCGCCGGCGCGTATAAAATACGCCGTGTGCATAGGCTCTTAGTATTATAAAGTCACATGTGATCATATTATGTCAAAAGTGCTTTTGCCATATGAACTACATGTAACAAAATATTTTTATTATTTTTTTGAGATTTTACATCTTTCCTATTAAACACAAAAAAGTTATCGATTATTTTCGTTCTTAGAGTCTTTAAGCTTTTCTCCTGAAGAGCTGTCATTTTGGAGGCATGTGGCTTTGACTAAGCGTAAGAATTTCTGTATTATATCTTTTTACTGGAATAGAAATTAATATTTGGCATGCTTTTGGTTGAGCAGGTAAACATCAGCAACACATGGGTCTTGCCTGAAGAAGGATTCCCTGTATTCTACCGCTACTTCAGGGACCGCATTTCCTGGTACGAGGCTGATGCCGTCTGCCAGTTCCATCACGCAAACCTGGTTACAGGTCAGTATTATTTTTACAGTATAACTTGAGCGCTTTTTATGAGAAATGCAGAACAGAATTTTAGAACAACTCATACTTAAAAACTACTTCAGAAAATGAGGTATTAGTGGTGATACAATAAATGAAATTGCTGAGTGAACTACCCTAACATGTGTGTATGTAAATGTATATACAAGGATATTAATACAATACTAGTTTAGGGAAGTTGTTAGTAATTTTCTTCCCCAAATAGATGAAGTCTTTAAAAAGGCTGTAAATATCTACAAAACAGTCTTAAGAACAGCAAGGACGTAATGGGGGCTAAACTCTGAAATTGTTCGGTAACCTACACAGCAGTTGTCGAACTAGTGATGCTATATGCTGCAGGAGTATGGACAAGTGGAACCTATTCTATTAAAATGAATAGGCTATTTATACAAGCGCATTCCCTCGTAATGAATATTTGACTTTCGAACAAGAAACAACGTTCAAAGCGTTTAAATGAGCAGAGCATTTATTTAGAGCATACAACGCTACGACTGCAACGACTCGAGCAATTCGATGAGAGCGTATTCGAGTGAAAGTACCCAACATTGTAATATTCGTCTCCAGTCATTGGACCTAAGTGTATTATACCATCTTGAATTATTAGAATTCTATTTTGTACCTTCAGAGTTAGCATTTCTGTGTTTCATCATGGTTTCACCTTATAGTTAGGCATCTTCGAGCGCTCCAGCGCCAACCCAACTGGAGCCAAACTGGTCGCTATGATCGAAAGAAAAACCGGTCGTTATACATATATATATATAATATATATAGATATATACTGTGTATATATATATATATATATATACAGATTTGTGAAAATCCACATCTTCGTCAAAAACTTTCACCATTTCAGATCAACCATGCACAGTGTTTTATGACTAATTTATTTGAAAGGTATTTCTTAATATAATTGTAATTATTTTCGCTTCACGATATAAATAAGTTAACACAAATTTTGAGACGAGAATAAACAATCTATCATTTAATAGGATTTTGTAGGAACACAAAAGCTTCACTTTGTCAGAGACTTTATCAAGACCCATTTTTCTTTGCTTGACTAAGAAATTTTTGAAGTTTTGTGATAGACCTTCAAACGAAATTATCTACTGGTAATTCTGGGGGCCTACCATAACCTTTCCAAAAACAATCTTATTTCAATGTAAGCTTAAAGTAAGCTTATTGTAATATTACTCATATTTGTACCATGACGAACCTGTCAACCAAATAATGTAATGATTGAAAGAACGAATGATTTCCCAATATTGTCTATTCCTTACTAAAAATAGGAAAGAGATAACGCTATGTGAAATATATAAAAGAGATGGCATCTTTTTGATGTTCCCAATCGTCGTATCGTAGTATAATGTTTAAAAGTAGGTACTTAATGTTATTTACATTCAGAGAATTTTGACTGTTAAGAAAAGAAAAGTATGTAATAATAAAATATATTAAAATAACGTTGTTTTCAATAATTATTCCGCATTTTCATGAAGAAAAATAAATAAAACAAGCAGAGTCTTGATAGTCACGTTGTGAGTTCGGAACTATAGTCTAGTGTCAACTGTTAGTTTCGCCAAAGAGAATATAGATGGCGCTGTTATAATCTTAAGAAATAAACATCGCGTATGTTTATTTATTATTAAAATATTTACTATGTGCTATTAAATAAAAAAATAAACAAAATATTGAAGAGATATATATAAATAAATAAGTTCAACTTAACTTTTAACCATTACAAATATTGATTTGATTAAGACAATAAAACTGAAAATAATATTGTTTCCATTACATCCGTGTAATTATTTTATGATTGCTAAATTTGACACAAGAACAATATTACTTTAATGTTCAAGTCGCGTCATAGTACGAACTGAGTAAATGAATAGTCACAAAGCTGCCAATAAAACATCATAGTTTTAACATTACGATAAGCTTACTTTAAGCGCGTTATGGTACTAAAAGTCAATGTATGTTTTAAGAGGTTGCGGTATGCCCCCAGGCATTTGTGTACAAAAAACTATTTATTTTTTCATATCAGATTCGTCTATTTAGAACCACTTTAGTAGTAATATTCATTAAAAAAAAACATAATCATCACAGATAATTTAATTTTGACTGATGACGTAATTACGTCTACCTAAATACTAAAGCTTTCTATTATCTTTACGACTTGATTTGACGCATTGCTCTCTTTACGAATCTTACATTTGTCGTAATCATCTTTTGTGTTAAGGCTTGAACGCTCGAATTAAACTATTGTCCTTTTGTATCTACAATATTTTATCAAAATGGGCCCTAAATGGATCATTGTAAGTCCTATTGAGGGTAACTGAAGCAGATTGGGCTATCCGTTACTGTGACTACATTTTGCAATTTTGTGTCCTACTGAACTAAATGTTCGTGGCCAAAGCTGGGGATTTGGAAACACGACCCCTACTGTCCCAATGTTACATTTCAATATTCCCTGGGGCTGTTAGCTGTAATCGACGGCAATCCACCCAAGACCTCCATTACCGCTGATGGCGCCCTCGACCCGTTCCTTGGAGATAACAGCCCCTGTAATGAACCTGCCGATAATAAAATATAAATACACTCTCTCTCAGTATATGAACATTCAATAACCCTTTGTCTGACTTCTTTTGATCCATAATATGGAAAATCAAAATAGGCCGCATTCATATTTTTTGCCTATTACGTAATAACCTTGTTATGTTTGGATTTACAAATAGGTAAGCCAGACGTTTATTTATTTTCATTTCTCGTGAATTCTCAATGAGAAAACAAAAAGGAAAGCCTTAAATTTTTTGGCAAACATTCAAATGATTCGACATCAATATGGAATATTTATAATGTGTCCACGAGCAAGGTCTCGTCCTATATCTATATAACTCGTCGTCGGTCTCGTCATAACCAATAATGGCGGACCTTTGAAACCGGCTGATTCCCGACCCTCCAATTTATGACCCGCTTTAGTTCCCTAAATGAATTTTTAGGACGTTGTTTTTATGATCCAAAATGAAAAAAAATTTAAGCGTGTCCTTAACCTTTATAAGGTTTATTTTTTACTTGGTTATTGCAACCATTTTGACAATAAATAATATAACACAGCAAATTTATGACAAGTTTTCTTGGCAGTGTTATTTTGCGAGAACCCAGATAATAGTTGGAATGTACATACATACCTTACTATACTTCCCGCCCTTTTCCCATCGGGATAGGCAGAGACAATCTTTTTTCATTCGTCTCTCCACAACTAAACATCACTTTCTCCATCTTTGTCACTACATCTTCTTCCATGCTGCAACGCTCACTTACAACACTGTTTCGTATTTTAACCATCAGAGTTCTCTAGCCATACTTCTCAAAGCTCTTATTTCTACTGCATTAATTCTACTTTCGTGTTTCTGTGTCAAACACAACATTCACCACCGTACATATAGTGTAGGAATCAGCACGCTTCCGTACACACGAAGGCACAGTTAAAAACATAATACAAAAAGAAAGGATTCGGCTTTTGCCGACAAGAATCTTAAAGTGTCATGGAAGAATCTTTGCTAATATTCACCGACCATCCTTTTGTAACGTGAACACCGCTGTCTTGTAAACAGAAACTGAATTACTTTCAAAAATCTCGACGTAATGTTTTATTTATGACTTGGACAGTTTTATCCTAAGCCCGTGAAGAGCTCTAAATAGTCTTAGCTATTGTTTGTTTAACTTATTTTTAATGCAATTTCTCTAGAAAAAAGGTCTCTTTGATACAATACTTGCGAAGCAAATGCTTGCTGAATGTCACATTGCTTCGCGCGTTTTATGCATAAAGGATGGAAAAAAGAGGACGGTTACGTATTTTCTTTTATTGACATAAATCGATGCAGTGCTATCTCTTTTGGCTTACGACGGCACGCAGTAGTTAAACAAAGACAATAAAATGTTTATGTTTTCACCGTCTAAATGCATCATATAACGTCTGATTTATATATGTCAATATAACATGTCCTTTGGTTTCCATAGTCTAAGGTTTTATCGTTCTGTGTGTATTATATTGACAGCTGTATGGTTTTTGTCAAGCTATTCAATCTGTGTCAGGTATTTTATTTAGAGACCTACGCTTTATACCTGTATAATATATATATATATATATATATATATATATATAATAAGTAAATAAAATAATAATAAATAAAATATCCGTTATTATTATTATTAACCTTAGATTACCATAAAACTGAAGTGTTTTGTAACAACTTAAAAAAAGCAAATACTGATACAAATAACTAACAAACTCGTAGTAGATGTAGATATATTTAGGTAGCGTATCTCGTACTTTTATTAAGAAACGAGCCCTGTACATTACAGGGTAGCATTTGTTTTTCTGCCGCCAACGAACGCTTCTATGACGGCCATATTTGAAAATAGCGAAAAACAAATTTTGAGCACAAATTATTATCCGCAAATTATTATTGCATTTCTAATGGCCTTCACATGCCAATTTTCAGTCGAATCAGAGTAAATCTCTTTCGGTAACTAGTTTTAACGATAAAAACATTTATATGGCAGCCATATTAAAAAATGGCGAAAAGAAATTTTTGACCCCAAATTATGATTAAGGACTCTTAAAGACCCAAGAAACAAGTTTTTCTTCGGCCGCCATTTTGAAATCGCCATCTTGGTTTTTTTTTAACCCAGGCAACTGACCAGTGTTATCCTCTATGACATTCCTACGAGCACCACCTACCTATCTCTAATAGTTTCCGTGATAGGAGGCTTTGAAATTTGTATGGCGGTCATCTTGTTTATTTGAATTTTGAACATTTTTTACTTCCCGCGGAAATTGACCAGGGTGTATCTCATAAAAATGCACAAAAATCCATGTATTATAGTTTTTGCAGGGCGTTGATCACTCGTTTACATTTTCCACATTCAGGTCTTCTCATATATCATTCTTTGCCTTGGAGCCTATCCGCGTACAA